TATCCAAGAGGATATACTGTGGAATTTTCAAAATCTTTCTCAGCTATAGGAATAGATTTTAAAGAATATTATTTTGAGATTTTAAAAATTTAAAAAATACGCAACTATTATTGCTTAGAGTGGCACCTAGAGTTTAAAACGTCGAGAAATATTGGCCCTAGACCCACCTTTTAGTATACCAATCGTCATATCTCGACAAGCTGATTCGATCTAGACATGTATGTCCATCAGTTGTATGTAAATGCGATACAGGCCATGGTTATAGATCAATGGCAGGGTATCATATGGCCTGACCCATCCTATCGTTCTATTCCGCTCACTGGTTAAAAATAAGTTTTTTCCAGCTTCAACATAATTTTTGGGAGTTGAGTTTTAAGACTATTTTCAAGCTCCACAACTGCTTTTGACGAAGAAATTTGTGGATTTAAAAAAATCTCATAGCTATAAGATTCGATTTTATTTTCAAAATTCCAATCCTTCCTTACGTTTATATATCACAACACCCTTTTCCTTAATATTTACAAAAAAAAAGAAACTAATTGTTGTTGCTTAAACTTCGTTAAACAACTAATCGTTAATTATCATCTACGATGACATCAATTGTAAAATGTTATTTTTTTTTTAATTTTTGATATGCACGAATGTTGATATTTTGTTTTTTTTTTTTAATTAATTATTGTGTGCGTTCTAGTGTGAAATGTATTAAGAAATGTTGTTTTTTGATTTCACGACAATTAAATGATAATCAAATACCTTATTAATTCATTCGTATCCACCACCAAAAAAAAAAAAAAATAAATTTGTGGTTAAGAATTTGACAATAAAATTACCCGCCTAATTAAAGGTATTCTTGCCTAATGTCAGTTTGTATAATTAATTCATCGTTCAAATATATGTAAATTGATATGTGTGTTTCTTTGTTTAGTTTTAAAAGTAGAAAAATTTGAATTTGAAACAAACACACCCGACTACCATAATTAACTCGAATAGTGCTGTAAATTTTTTTTCGAATTTTTGGAACGAAACTTTCAGCGTCTCTAGATTGTGGGTCACTGAATCCAAAAATTTGATTTGTATCCTTTTTTCTCATCAGGATTATCGACAGGATAATTTTTTGGGCTGTCATACTAGCACTGCTCGGGTAAAAGTGTTTTAGATGTTTTATTGACCGTCTTATGAGTGTGACCATATGGTTACGCTAGCACAGCTCGGGTTAAATTCGTGTGATTTTTAAATAGACCCAACCATCAACGGTCATCGGTATAAACTTGACAGCTGTCGGATCTTTAGACTATGATTCCACCATGAGGAATCAAAGAAACATCTTAATTTTGATGGTACTATTTCATTGGACATATTTTAAATCGGCCAATATTAAATGGGCCCTGAAACGAGGTCTCTTCTTATCTGAAATATCTGCTTTCAATTGTTTAGATATAATAGTGTTTCTAAATATAGGGTTTTGACATTTTTTGTACAGACATTAATATTATTTCTAGGATGTCACTGTAAATTGGTATATCGGCGAGATGACATTCATGTTTTTATATAGCTCCCATATAACTGAATTGAAAGTAATAAACGGAATTTCAAAAAAAAAATGTATGTATATTAAGTTGGGGAAAATGAAATCCATTAGGCCGGTCATCGAAAATGTCGATAAAATCAGAGAAATTATCGAAGTTGACCGACATGTTAGCAATCGTAACATCGCCCAGAAGCCTTGTCCAAACGGAATGAGATAGGCCCATTTCTTAAACGGATGGTGGCTGGAGATGAGTAATGGATCACATACGATAACCCTGTGCGAAAACGATCGTGGTCAAAGAGCGGTTAAGAACCTCAACCGGTGGCCAAACCAGGACTAACGGCCAGGAAGGTTCTGCTACGCATATATAATCAAACGCTAAATTCTGATCTCTACTGTCAACAATTGGACCGTTTGAAGATAGCAATTGACCAGAAACGGTGTCGTGTTCCACTAGGACAACGCTAGGACACACACATCTACAGTGACTCGCCAGAAACTTCGGAAGCTTGGTTGGGAAGTTTTAATGCATTCGCCATACAGTCCGGACGTGGCACCAAGCGATTATCATATTTTTCTTGCATTTCAAAATTTCGTTAATGATAAAAAATTGGTATCTGGGGAGGATTGAGAACATCGACTACTAGAGTGTTTTGCAAGTAGAGAGCAGGACATTATTAAGTGTCCAAATCGGACATTCCGAAGCATGTTAAAAACAAGTCTGATCTCCATTAATCAATATTCATGTTTTCCCTCTTTCTCTGTATAAAATTTCATGATGTTCGGGTGACAATTGTGGGCTCTAGAGCTAACAGAAAAAAAATAAAAATATAATAATAGGGGGCTTCCTTGGCCCGAAGCCCTACATGCAAAATTTCGATTGGTCCATAACTGTGGTCTGTATAGTGTTTACAAATTATAATAGGAAAACGGACACATATTTAGGGCCACACAAAGCTATAATACCCTTATAACATAGTTGTGTAGGGTATACAATTACCCGCCTGTGGATCGTGCCAAAGGGACTGATAATTGTTTAAAAAATTGCCGTATCTTAATTGATCCTTGGAAGACATATTCTTAAAAACTCCAGACCTTCAGGGCGGTGGCTCAGTTGATTCTTGGAAAAAAGTCTTTAAATGCAGATCCTTAAAAATTTATAAAAAATTATGAATAAAATTAAATATTCCAGATGTAAGGATCTTATAATCCTTATGTAAGTATTTGGAAAAAATATTCCTTACAAATCTAGTAAATGATTTAATTATCTTATTGGTAAAAATGTACCTCAAAAAAAAGGACTGATAATCAATTTTAAAAATCAATGGTTGTGGATCTGCTATTCCTTGGAATCTTTTTGGAAAATATTCATAAAAATACAGATTAAAAAAAATAATTCCAATTTAGCGGATTCGATTTTTTTCAGAAATCCACTTCTGTGTCTTGGTTGGTTCTTAGTGGAAATATTCTTAAAAATCCAGATCTTTAGGAAATGTGGAACTGTTGATTCATAGAAAAAATGTTTTAAAAAAATTATTTATTAAAAAAAAACGTCCACCAATGTAGCTCTGTTTATCCTTAATCTAAACCTAGGGGTTTTACTAATAACAAAACCATCCTTGGAAAACAGATTCTTTAAAAATCCAGATCTAAAAGACTAAGAATCCTTTAAAAAAATGGCAGTACTTCTGTTATCCCTTTAAAATGGACTTAAACAGTATAAGAAGTCCACTCCTGAGGACATGTTAATCCTTAAAAAATGTCCTCTATAAGAAACCACTCAAAAAAAGTCTGACAACCTTCTTAAAAAATCGAGAGGTTTCATTTTTCGCTGTAGTGGAGGTAGAAAGGAAGTGGAGGTAGGGTGAAGATAATATTGAGTTTATAAATTTTGACCTTTTGTGGGGAAAGTACCAGAAGGAGTGGAGCAATGGGTCCCTCTTCATCTAGTCTTGGGAAAGTTGTTCTCATGATATTATAAAATTAATTGTTAGCACAATTTTGAACATTTTGTGGGAGAGGTACCAGAAGCAGTGGATCGATATTCCCCAACTTCAAGCTTGAACTAAGTTTAGAAGAAATATTACGATGTGCAAAATTTGGATGAAATCGATTATTCCCATTGAGAGTTATCGTGCTGGACGGACATTTATAAATCGACTCGAAATTGTCCAAAATGGATTTGGTCCAAAGAAATGTGGGTTCAAAACCAATATTTTGGTGCCGTATCAAGGTATATATAAGCTGAGACTATAAAAATGGTATGACAATTATTTAAAAAAAAAATCAACGAATCCTCGAAAAAAAAATATTCTTAAAAAAATGCTGAATCAACAGCTGCGAGTCTTTTGATCCCTGAGATAATTATTCCTTAAAAATCCATGCTAATGGATCTGATAATCCTTCTGAGAAACCTAAGAGACTGATAATATTAAAAAAAATATCTGATAAATCTATGTTGATTCTACAAAAATCCATAGCTAATGTCTTCCACAGCTTTGATTCGTTGGCCTCTAGAAAATATATTCTTTAAAAATCCAGTTCAAAGGGATTGAGGGATTAAAAATCCAGACCTAATGTACTGAGGGTTCTGTTAGCCCCAGGAAAAAAAATTCCTTCAAAAATCCCGACCTAAGGAATTGGTTATCAGTATAACATAACCACTCCTGAGGATCTGTGTATCTTTAAGAAAAATATTCTTGAACAATTTTTACGCCCCACTAAGTGTGTAGATCCTTGGAAAAATATTATTTATTAGAAAAATTCAATTTTTATTTACCTAAGGAAATCCTTTTAAAAACTCCACCTATGTGGATCTGTTGGTTATTAAAAATCCAGAATAAAGGTATTTAAAAAAAATCCGCCAATGTGCCTCTGTTGGTCATTACACATTCAGAATTAATGTTTTTTTTTAAATCTACGCCTGTTACTATGTAGATTTTTTGAAAAAAATTTAATCCTCAAAAAATAATGCCAGTGTTTTTTTTTTGATCCATGAAAAAATATTCTTTAAAAATCCAGAACGAAGGAATTAACGAAATCCATGCCTGTAAGTTCTTGATCCTTGGAAAAAATATTGTTTAAGAATTCGGACCTAAGGTTTTAAAAGCCCCCTCATAGGGCTCGGTTGACTTTTCGAAAAAAATATTATTCAAAAATCCAGATCTTAAAGACTGGTATTCATTTTAAAAAATCCAAACCTGAGGCTCAGTGGACTCAAATAGGGAAAATATATAGATGGAATTTCGACTAATCGCCTTTTGTATTCAGAAATTTTAAATTTAAAGTCGTTTTCTCATCCGCAAAATTGTAACAGCTTATTTCATATATAAATCTCTTAAATGTTTACTGGGTGTTAACACTGAGAAATGTTTTCTCTTTGATCACTTTGATATAACTGACAGATCAAAGAGAGAGGGAGAGCGAGAAGACCAACATAAACATTGTTTTGTAAATAATGAATTAAACTTACCGTTATTAACGCAACAGCTGAGCGCCACGACAATTAGTAATCCACAACATGATGTTACAGCTGAGGATAACCCAGCAAACAATGCCATTGGCATTGTTGTGCCGGATTTTCTACGTTTTGTCGAGGTAATGACCTGACGAGATGTTTTCATAAATTTTCGATGTGTTGCAGTTCCCGCTGTTGTTGTTGTTGGTAATCCATTGTTGTAATCCATTTTAATGAATGGTGGCGAATTATAAAAAAAAAAACACACAACCGAAAATTAAAAAAAATGGGGCGGGGTATTTTTGTTTGCGTTTTTTCTTTAAATCATAAACATGGGCAGAAGCTTGGCTTTGCTTATATAGGTGGGTTAGACGGTCTTTTGTAATAATTTTTTTTTTAAATTGGAAATTATTTAAAAATTATTTTTTTTTTTTAATTCTTTTATTTTTTCAATTTGGAATTTTGTAGAAAACCATTATTTTTTTTCTGGCTTCCTCTTCTTTTTCTTCGTTTTCTTTCTGTTTTTCTATTTGCTGCTGCTGATTATGAGGCAGACAATTGTGGTGGTAGTTAGTTTTTTTTTTTTTGGGAGTAAGCTTTTATTTTAGTTTTTCATATATATCCTGAGAATGTCCTGCCATCACCACGTTTCCCCCAACTGCTGCTGCTACTGTTGCTAATATTTCAGAGCTCCACTTGGGCTCTCTCTCTTGCTTTGAGGGCCTTAGTTTTTGAAATGGTTGGAGGTAGGGTAGGGTGTCGACTTTGAATTGGAGGTCCTTTTTTCGCAGCCAGCCAGAAAGACAAAAATCCAAAATGGCGTTTTGTGTGTAATTGTGTAATCCTCCTTCTTTTTGCACACACACGCACACACTGACAAATTTATGTATAATTTTTTCTTATTTGTTGTATTTTTTCACAAAAGGATTTTTTAATATTTTTTTGCAATTTTTATTTTATTTTTAATATTTTTATTTTTTTTTAATTCACTTTATTTTTTATTATTTTTAAAAATTTTTTTAGAACGAAAAAGTTAACCAAAAAATATTTTTTTCCAAAATTCGTTTAAAGGGTTTTCCATTTATTTATGTTTTTTTTAAATTTCGTTATTTATTTTTTTATTTTCTCGAAATCGTTTTTTTTTCAATTCAATACCCCATAAATAATATTTCAAATTAAATTCCACAAAAAAATGTATTTAAAAAAATAAAAATTAAAAAGCGTTTTTTTTTTTCTTTTGGGGAATTATATTTTTGCTTATGAACACCGCGCACCGCGTTTTCTTTCTTTATTTCAAAACACTCGTCAGGTTGGTTGGTCGGTTTGTATCGGACTGAAGAGGCCAAAATTTTTGGGAGACACACTCAGCGCCGCGTTGAATGCTTGTAATTCCAGCACACAGCAGCACACACCAGCAGAGATTTCTAAATCACAGCCAACATCTCATGACTGGCAGCCATACAAACCACATTCCACCACATAAATGCATGAACACACTCATACGCACGCACGCACAGGCATACACAGCAACGGACGAACACAAAGCAGTTAAGCAAGGTTTGGTTGGCTGTGGTTGGTTTGATGTGGTGAAAAGCTCGACTGCAAAGAGATTGCAAAAACAATAACAGAGAGAGTTAAACATGAATGAGCATAACTGTAACAAAAATAACTGTTATGAGTAACGGAAGAGTAAGAGAGAGACTTAGAGAGTTGATATTTATTTTTTTACCACAGAGAAAACAATAACAAAACTAAGCGTATAACACACACACTCACACACATCCGCTCACATGTTTTGTGTACAGAGGCGGAAATGCACCACAGATGACATTTTTTTTTGTGAGTATTGGGAGATATTGTGTGAAAGAAAAAAAACGAAACATTTGGGAGTAGTCATTGATTGCATTTCACAAAAGGATGCTTGCTTTGTGTCTAGGTATGTGTGTGTTTGTGTAAAAATTCCTACTAATAAAAAAAAAATCTTCAAAAAAATGACACAAAAAACCGCATAACATTGTAAACATGATACTGTTATATAGCTTCAAAAAAATTGCACACATAAATCGAGAGAGAGAGAAATTAAATGTCTGAAGAGGTTTTAATTTTAGGTAAGAAGTTCTTCTTAATGGAGGAACAGGAGATGTTTTAATAGAAGACTGATCAGCCTGTTTATATGTGGCCTAAGACCACGAAAACTTCTTACATAAAAACGAAGGTTCTTCTTTAAGGAGACAAAAGGTCCCTTCAGCAAATGTTCTTGAGGCAAATGTTCATAAGGAAAAATTTGAAGGTATTTTTAAAGAGGACCATTGGGCAGTGTTGCTTAGACTCTTTGCGTTTTCGTAAAAACAAACAAACACGTATTCCCTCTCAATTTAGAACTGCCGTTTGTTTAGCATAGGCGGGAGATTAACATACAAATACCAAGGCAAGTAATATGAGCATCACTGTCATTGGACCCAATTGCGCTGAGCAACAAAATTCATTATTGGGAAATTAAAAAAAATTGAAATCTACATTATTTCCCATTTCCAAGACATTTGCAAATATTCGGGTTAGGATTTCTAAAAATCTTCGCATTTTAGGAGTATAGTGTCTTTGGCAGTATTAAACGGCTTTATGAGGATTTATTTGGCATATATGCAAAGGAATTGAAAATTGAAACCCTCTGAGTTAACGAAATCTGTTTAAATTTAAACGTACTATTACTGATATTAATTTTTTTAGGAATATTTTTGTGTAATACCTTAAACCTCAGTCGACTCTCTGAAGTGGCCTTTTCGGTCCGCTCTTTCAGAAATGCAGGTCGGGATATTCTACAAGAATGTTCGCCATAAAGTTCTACTATAAATCTCAGAATAGATCGAAACACCAAACCCATGTTTTGGAGTTAAAAACTATCTTATTCCAAGTTTTTGACAATTTTTCCCACTAGATGTCGTTTTAGAAGTATGGTACAGAGGACAAAAATATTCTCCATCAAATTCTAATGTAAGTTACTGAACAAGAGAAGTCGGGGCGGTATAGAAGTTTTCTTATAGACGACCAAAAAAGTCTTCCTATAGATCAAGATAGAAGACAAGAAAGGTCTTCTTATAGAAGACAAGAAAGGTAAAGGTATAGAAGAACTTACAAATCTTCTTATGGAAGACCACAAAGTTCTTTCTATAGAAGACCTGAAATATCTTCTTATAGAAGACCAGAGAGGCCCTCTTATAGAAGACTAGAAAGATCTGCTTATAGAAGACCAGAAAGGTCTTCTTATAGAAGACCAGAAAGGTTTTCTTATAGAAGACCAGAAAGGTTTTCTTATAGAAGACCAGAAAGGTCTTCTCATAGAAGACCTGACATATCTTCTTATGGAAGACCATAAAGTTCTTTCTATAGAAGATCTGAAATATCTTCTTATAGAAGACTAGAAAGATCTGCTAATAGAAGACCAGAAAGGCCTTCTTATAGAAGACAAGATAGGTCATCTTATAGATAGGTCTTCTTATAGAAGCCCAGAAAGACTTCTTATAGAAGACCAAGATGGCCCTCTTATAGAAAATTAGAAAGATCTTCTTATAGAAGACCAGAAGGGTCTTCTTATAAAATACCAGAAAGATCTTCTTACAGAAGACCAGAAGGAGGACTTATTATAGAAGACCAGGAAGGTCTTCCTATAGAAGACCAGAAAGGTCTTCTTATAGAATGCCACAAATGTTTTCTTATAGAAGACCAGAGAGGTTTTCTTATACAAGACCATAGAGATCTTCTTATAGAAGACAATAAAGATCTTATAGAACTCCAGAATGTCTTCCTAGGGTATTCTTACGGTAGACCAGAAACATCTTCCTATAGAAGACCAAATAGATCTTCTTATAGAAGACCAAATAGATCTTCTTATAGAAGACCAGAAGGAGGTCTTCTTATGATAAAGAAAGGTCTTCTTATATAAGGCCAGAAAGGTCTTCTTCTGGATTTCTTATAGAAGTCCAAAAAGGTCTTCCTATAGAAGACCAGACCGGTCTTCCTATAAAAGACCAGACCGGCCTTTCTATGGAAGACCGGAAAGGCATTCTTATAGAAGACCAGAAAGGTGTCCTTTTAGAAGACCAGGAAGGGCTTCCTATGGAAGACCGGAAAGGCATTCTGATAGAAGACAAGAAAGGTCTTCTTATAGAAGACAAGAAAGATCTGCTAATAGAAGACCAGATATGTCTTCTTATAGACGCCCAGGAAGGTCTTCCTATAGAAGACCAGAAAGGTCTTCTTATAGAATGCCACAAATGTTTTCTTATAGAATGCCACAAATGTTTTCTTATAGAAGACCAGAGAGATTTTCTTATAGAAGACCATAAAGATCTTATAGAACTCCAGAAATGTCTTCCTAGGGTATTCTTACGGAAGACCAGAAACCAGAAGGAGGTCTTCTTATGATAAAGAAAGATCTTCTTATAGAAGACCAGAAATGTCTTCTTATAGAGGAGCAGAATGTATTCTTATAGAAGACCAGAAGGATTGGTCTTCTTATATAAAACTTGATAGGTCTTCTTATAAAAAAACAGGACGTTTTCTTATAAAAATCGGAAAATATTCTTTTAAAAGAACAGCAGGAACATATGGTCTTTTTATTATTGAAGAGAAGACGTTACCATCCTGATCTTAGTTATGCTAAGATTACTTGTGACTGTCAAGGCAGCTGATACTTCTCTGCTTCTATATATGGTGGTTTATCTTCGATTGTAGCATTCATACGATATTGTTTTCAGGTCTGGGCGATTGCATTTGTATGAATCCTACCTGTCAAACCTGTCCGATAGGCCTGCTGATCTAGAGCTTTACGCATGTACCCTTCGGACCTTTTTGTCTAGATCATGAAGATCTTGTCGACGATAACACCCAAGGCTGGTACTGCATCGGCAATATTTGGTTGTACCAAGAGACGGATATGACCTCCTCATAGAAGAGCTCTGAATACCATATTTGTCATTATTTAGCTCCGAAGGTCTTCCATATACAATATTTTTCATAGCTGAGCTCCGAAGATATTCTTCCTCAGTAAAATAGCTGAGTGTCTTCTCTATAGAAGAGCTAAGTATGTCTTCATCCTCAAAGGAAGTGTGATTTTTTCATATAAAAAAGCTTCGAAGGATTTCTTCCTCATTGAAGGGTTTTTTCCTC